GCCCTCTGCATCCAAGATGTACCTCCTGGTCCTGTGAGGTCAACAGGCCTACCAATGCAGTAAGTCAGCTGTAGGAGATAAGTGCTGCTGAACTGCAACAGTCTCACAAAGGCCATGGACACATCTGGTCTTACCTCCTCCAACTCTGCCTCCAGCACCTGCTTTTCCTTTGCTCCTTAGGCCCCACCTTCTGCTCCTCTCATATGGGTCATTGGCACTGACTAGGCTCTGGACTCAGCTTTGCTCTCACTTCCCTGACCTCTGACTGGTCTAGAGGATTGAAGGTTCTGCTCCCGGCTTAGATCTGCCACTATCTGTGGCTCTCAGCTCTTGGGAGCTCTTTGCCAGCAGCTACCTGCTGTCTCTGCTCTCTCATAGTTGTTCTGGAACGCATCTTTGAGGGCCAAATTCTTTTGACTTTAAGCAGGTATGGGCCTCAAATAAAAGTTAAAGCTATTTACCTAAATATTGTGCTGTTTTAAAATGTATGTCCCAATTTTCCAATACCCTAGAGCATCTAGAGAAAAATAAATTCTCATGCAAGGTGAAACGATTATCACTTTCCTGTTTTACCTGTTTTTAAATCTGAGAGTTTTAAAATATTTCACTAGAGGTACAATTTTAGGGTTGGAGAGGAGGTAGGTTATTATACAATATGTGTGTCTAAAAGCAAAAATCTGATAGCTCATGATCATTGTCTAAGCCTAAGGTACAAAATGGTCAGTATATGTGGATGTGTGTGGCTTGTGTATTTGTGGGGATAGGGCAAGGTGGGTGTCGATAAATTTGCATATTGTATATAAAAATATACAATGAAGAACAGGCAAAATAAATCTATGGTGATAGAAATCAGGAAGTAGCTGTCTTGGGGGAGTGATGAAAAGAAGCATAAGGGAACTTTCTGGAATGAAAACATTCTATAGCTTATTTGGAGTGGAGGTTACAAGGGTATAAATTGTCCAAATCAACCAATGGAACACTTAAGATTTTTTATCGCATGTAAACTATATGGCAATAAAAAATGAAAATAAATCCCCTGCATGGATCCATGTGTTTATGTATTCAAAGATGTGAATAGACAGGAGTGTATATGGATGTGAATCTGTGCGTGTAGCCCCTACTTGTATGTCCATGACCTTGGTATGGGACCAAGGCGTATGAAACCATGAGGACTCGAGCACACAGGAAGTCCTCACTACGGAACTTCAGCTTGGCCCCACAGCCACCAGCTTATCCTTTCATCATCATCATTCATTTGCCCAGCATTTCCCCAAGGCCTACAACTCTTATCTCAACCTCCTCACCCTCTTTGGGTCCCCGTGAAGCAACTTCTCTATAATTTTTTAGTTCCTACTAGGAAGGTTAAGGTCACTAGGCATGAAAGACCGTCCTCCAGCAACTGCTCCCTGGCTCCTTTTCAGGCTCTCCCCCAGAGTCAGGGGGATAAGCGTTGTCTGACCTCATCCTCTCCTACCTAATCCTTCCTCCTTCCCCTCTCCCCATAGCTCCCTCTTTTCAACATCTCAAAGCTCACGCCCTCCATTAGCATCCTTCTTTCTTTCTTCAAACATTCACAAGTCTCAGCTTTCTTGAAACAATTCATGAAACCGAGAGAAAACCTCTAGAATGACTTGCCTTGTGCCCTCTGAAGCTTGTGCAGGCACAGAAGTTGATTCTGGGCCCCCAGCTGGAAAAGTATGAGGTTGTTACCAAAACAAAGAGAGGCCGTTCCATTTGGAATTGTCTGCATCCCCAGAATTTGTTAAGGCAAAAGATACGTTTGTCCTATAGACCAGATGCAGGCTAGGCAGGAGAGAGGGCCTACTAGAAGCTATCTTAAATGGACTCTGCCCAAGAGGGGCTACCTGGAGGGACAAGGGACCAATTGCAGGTAGTGGGGGATTCCAGAAACCAGGAACTGAAGAAGCAACTGAAAACAGCAAGTGTAACCACTAGGTCAGGAGAACTGCAGCTAAGAACCAAAAAAAATTGCATGGAGAAAAGTCAGCTAAACTCTCATTGAGCTCAGAAAACAGTAATGTAGATGACAAAGAGACCTTTCCTGCCCTTATCTCTACTCTTACAACCCCCTCCATTAATACTGATGGCTCTGAAGCTTCAATCTGCATGGTGTGGGGGTGGAGGGGAGATGAAAAAGCAAGATGGAAAAATACAAAAGTCAACCACTCTCCTCTTCAAAAGTGGGAGCCTAACTAAAGCTCAAGAAGGAGAGTCACTTTAACTTTGAATTAAATTCAGAGCCTTGACTATTAATGTGAACTGTACATTTAGGCTATTGCAGTAAGTCTGTCAAGCACGGAAACTATCCTGGTAACTAGATATAATCCAGGGCAAGCAAAGACTTCTAGAAAGAGTGGGGATGAAGACATAAAGTTGTTTTATAACCGCACTAGGTTTCTTGAATACAGCCCTGCATGCAGCAGTTACACATGGAAAACAAAGCACAGCACCTGGCACAGAGTCATTGTTTGATACAGCAGCTGGTAGAGACTGTTATGAACAATCTTGGGATTTAAAGGGAAGCAGATAGGAACTGAATATAAGGACAGCTTTGCTGTTGTTTGGGATGGCCCCAGTAAAGGACTTGGCAGATAGAGTTGTCGTGGAGATGCTGGCAGGGCTACTTGGCTTCTCTTTCATGGACTCAACTTTCCTTTCTATAGATGACTTCAGGCCTGGCTTTTCTCCTGAATTTCAATCCCACATTTCTTTTTGAAAGTTTAATTCCCCATTTGTCCACTGATATTTCTATACGGACAACTCACAATCACTTCCAATTCAATCTATCTAAAATGAAGCACTTTATTTTTTTCCCTCTAGCCAGCTCTCCTTCCACACATCCTCAGAATTCCGTTTCTGTACATATATACTTCTTTCAAACTGATTTTCCACATCCCTTTCACTCATTTCTTAAACCCAGATGGGAATAAACTCTAGATTCTTCCCATGAGACTGTTCCCTCTTTTGGCCCCACACTCTCCATGTCTATGAACACCATTATCGTTCAGATCTTTATCATCTCATAAGGTAACCTCCTACACAATCCCCCTGCCCCCATTTTTCCTTCGGAATCCTTAGCATGTCCAGGTCGGTCTAACCTTCTTCAGTTCTGATGGCAGAATAAAAAGCCTTTGATCCCAAGGCTTTGCTTCCCAAGGAATAAAACACAAACTCAGCTAGCTAACATTCATAGGTCCTGCACAATCCGGTTTCTCCAACTTGCTTTTTCCAGATTTATCTAAAAACATTCAACTCTCTCCCAATTCAAAGTGTCACTCTCTGCCTGGTCAGTGCTGGACAATAAAGACGGAGAGATGAAAGACATACCTGACCTCAAGGTACTCAAAGTTCTAGTGGTAAGGAGAGGTAAGTAATTAACCATAGTACATGGTCAGTGGCAGGATAAAGAACACTGGTCCTCCTCATGTCCCCATTTCATCAGAAATTATCTATTCACTGTCCCCTAAATATAGGCCTAGGCTTTTTTTACTTCCAGGTTTTTCTTTGAGCTCTTTCCTTCTTCTTTTTTTTTTAAGATTTGTTTATTTTTAGGCAGAGAGGAAGGGAGGGAGAAAGTGGGAGAGAAACATCCACGTGTGGTTGCCTCTCATAGCACCCTCGCCTGGGTACCTGGCCTGCAACCCACACATGTGCCCTGACTGGGAATCTAACTAGTGGGCCTTTGGTCCACAGGCCTGCGCTCAATCCTGTACTGAGCCACACCAGCCAGGGCTCTTTTCTTCTTTAAACACTTTCCATTGGTAAAGGCCCAGCTCCTAGCACCCCTCCTTTGAGAATGTCAATGCCCAAGGATCTCTTCCTCCTCTGGAGTTGAATGGTCTTTCTCTTCCTATATGTCTCTCCGCTTAGACATTTCATCCTACAGTCTTATCTCACAGGGCACCCACTCACACCCCAAATCTAAGTTAGATACACCTCCTCTCTGTTCCCACAGTACCTAATAATTCTCCTACTGTTGCCCACATCAATTTACCTCTTTCCCACTAGATTCTGAGTGTCTTGAAGGCAGAAAATGCGAGGGTCTTGTTCACAGTTGAACATCCAGCTCCAAGACTGGGCTGGCACATCTTAGCAGCTCAATAAACAAGTGGAAGAGAGGGAGAAAGTAGTAAGCCAGTCACCATGCACTCCCTTGTCTTTAGCACTCATGGTAACTGTTCTTCTCACTCTTACTTTACAAACTAACCACCGCTTCCAGGAAGGCTTAGTCATAAATTCCCCACTGGGATTGTGCATTTCTCTCCCAAGCAACAAACTGCAACATCTCTATCTGCCCCACTTGACTCAACTTTTAGAGGGTAAGGTTTCTCCGTATGCCCAAATAAATAGCGCGGGGTAGGGGTGGGGGAGCTTACGTTTTAATTTATAAAACTTAAATTATCAACTCTTTTTGAGCAGGAACTATATCTCTACTTTCTGTCTAAGTGAACTCTGAATAAAGCCCCTTAACCGCGGCCAGTTTCTTCATCCCTAAAGCAAAAACAATGTGGCCATGTTTCACAGCAGTGCTGGGCAGACCTGAGAGGTAGGGACTGGCTGACCACGTAAGTTACCTAGATACCGGTTTCTTCCTAACACAGGGCTGTTGTCCTGTAAAGCTCATTGAACAGTGAGTGCCTACCGCTAAGTCAGTGCTCAGAGTCACCCCTTCTCAGATGTGGTGTCTCAGTAGTGGGACCTCGAGGGACGGCAGCTGGGCGGTACGTGCGCGTGAGAAGGAGGGTGCATGGAGTGCTGGATTAGAGACCCCATCCTCCCACCCCACCCACGGGACCCTCAACCTCTCTTCCCCTCACCCCTTTCCTTTCCAGGGCTTTCCAGAGCTTTCCAGAGCTCGGAGCCCCCTCCTGCTACCGGGGGCAGGAGAGGTGTTTGGCTGGTTAGGGGGCTCAGACCGCACCCAGGCCGCTGGGCCTGCTGCGCGATCTCCCAGTCAGAGCTTATGTCTGAAGCCCCACCTGGAAAAAGGTTCCTCTAAAGCTCTTCCATCCTAAACCTCGTCCTCTTCCACCTCTTGGGACAAGGGCTCTCCCTCCCACTCCGACAGCGTTTCCCCACCGGCTGGACGAAATTTGAGGCACGCTAACAGCGAGCCCTCAGACGAAGATCCCACCAAACCAGGAGCGTCGCTCCGCCTTCCTTCTCGACAGCCGGAGCGGGCCGCGACACCGCGAGATCTGGGAGGTGGGGCGGGACCGGAAGCTGGGCCTTCTCGCGAGGCCCCGCGTAGCCGAGCCGGGAGGTCCTGAACGGCGTGGAGGTCGTTGGAGTCACTTGCTCTCCGCCAGCTCCTTCTCTTGCTGGTCCGCGCCCCGCCCGCCCCAGCCATGCTCTCCGCCCTCGCCCGGCCTGCCGGCGCCGCTTTCCGCCGCAGCTTCAGCACCTCGGCCCAGGTAGGCCCCACGAGGGGCTGGCTGCAGGCGGAAGCCCCCCGGCCTGGGCCACGTGCGTTCCTGGCTCGCGAGCTGCCCTGACGCCGGGCTAGCCGGCCCCACAGGGCCGCCGGGTACCTGCCGGGGGCTCTGACACCCTAGGCCGGCCGTGATACCGGGCGGGAAGTGCGGGAGAGAGGGGGAGGTAGCCCAACTCCAGAACCGGTGCACTTCTCCCATCCCCGTAGTTCGTACCCCGGGTCCCCCAGAGGGCCTGTTCTTGGACTGCATTCCTTCAAGGCTGAAAAGCCAGGGCTCTGGAGCCGAAAATAATTTATGTTTTAATACAACTTTTGAGTAAATAACCTTGTTCTTCTTGCAGCATACAAATAAAGTGATTATTAACTCCATAGTACAGACAGGCGTGGTACCGACGGTAGAGAACTGGTCCGTGGTTACACAGTCATTTGGCTAGAGGGTTAAAATTCAGCTCTCCTGACCACTGTCAATGGTTATTGGATCACCAAGCCTTCCCTCTAAGAACCTGAAGACTGCTTCATTTTAAGGACTTCTTTAGAGGATCCTTGTGGTGTACTGGGCCTACCCCCAGGTGTTGTAACACTGTAGTACTTAGCCTGGGACTACTAAAGCCTAAACTATTTTTAGCTATTTCTTCTAGGACAGTGGTTCTTATACCCTGGTGTGTGGCAGAATCACCTGAAAGCTAATAAAGAACAGACACCCACATTCATTGAATAAGGGTAGGACCTGGGCCTCTGTATTTTTACCAAGTGCCCAAGGTGATTCTGATACAACCAGAATCAGAACCCAGGAGATGCCCACACTGCCACACCCAAAAGGGAGTGGGTTATTAAAGGAGCTTTCAAATTTCTTAATTTAGTTTGTCCTTCAGATCATTTTTCTGTGCATTTAATTCATTTGAAAAATAAGTATATTGAGTATCCATACCTGCCAAGAACTGGGCTGGGTGTTTCAGGGGATACCAAATGAGGGGGAAGTGACACTTCAGATTAGCCAAAAATGAGTAAACTTAAGACAGGTGGAGGAGATGAAGATTGATGCTGAGGAGTGGAAGAAGGAACTGAACAAAGGTAAGACAGTGGAATTTACTGACAGACGATTTGGTGAAGGGTCCTGAGAGAAAGTAGCATAGAGGACATCACGCTACTTTGGAGTTTGCTGAGATGGGAAAAGACTGCTGGAAGAGAGCGGTTTAGAGCAGGCAGAGGATATCAGGAGCTCAGTTTTAGATATGCTGAGTTTAAAATGCCTATTACACATACACGTCGAGATGTTGAGAAGGTAGTATGTCAGAAAGATGAGCTTGAACTAACTGTTAACATTGGACTAGAGACTTCATATCCTGTATGCTTTAGAGTAAAAATGTATTGAGTACAACCACCTCAATATATTTATTGCTACAGATATGTACTAGTACATGAGGTCTGTCCAGAAGATATCCAGCCATGTACTATGAAAAATGGAGACATTTATTGAAGAAGATACAAGAAAATTATACATAGGACAATAATACCTTGGTCCCCTTCAAAGATACCTTTGGACCTCACAGAGTTCTCCCAGTTGCCAGCAACTGCCCTGTCTCATATTTTCCTGAATCTCATTGATGATCTGAAATCTCTACTTTCAAAGGTGATTTTAGTTTTGGGAAAAGCTAGAAATCACAGGGGACCAAATTGGCTGTAGGGGGACTGAGTCACCTGGGTGATTGGATGTTTCACCAAAAACCTCTGCATGAGCCATGATGCATGAGAGTACATGTTGTCATGATGAAGCTGTCAATCACCAGTTGCCCCTAGCTGCAGCTTTATGAATCATCCAAATAGTTTCTGCATAAGGAATGTTCATGCTTAATGCAAAATTTGATGCAGATTTGTTGCTCTACTCAGTCATTTTGAATGCGGTGGCCACACAGCTCACATGCTCCCCTCCATGGAGTCTACTTCCCCCACTGAGTAGTACAGTGAAGCCATCATTGTTCCCACATGCATATTCCAATCCACTCTCCTTGGCCACCAGGTTACATCGATATAATGCAGACTGTTCTCATTATATTAACAATGGCTGAACTTCTGGACAGACCTTGCATGTTACAATAAACAAAAAAAATAGAAATTTAAAATCAAACTGTAACGGGCTTTAAAAAGCAAAAGTAAATGAGGGAAGCGATAATGTCAATTTTCAAAACAGTTGATAAGGAATGTACCTTTTTTCTTTTTTAAAAAAAGATTTTGTTTATAGAGAGTGCCACATGGCACGTGGGGGAACACCTGGGTAACAACTGCCATGGAGGATGGAGCACAGTGCTCCAGGATCTGAGGGTTACCGTCTGGGGCCAGCTGAGATGGGAGCAGGGGCTTTGAATTCCGCAGAGCCCATCCCAAGGGTGTCGCGGATGGGAGGAATAAACACGGAGAGGTTGCAAACACTTCTCTGTTTGCCAAGAGAGGAGACATGGTACATCCCCCTAGTGGGGAAATCCCCTAGCCCTTTTGTTCTAAGGCTTTTATTGAGAGGGCTATCTGGGGCAAGGTAACAGGAATGCACAGGTTATCTCATTACATCAGTACGTTAATGTTTACAGAGAATAGATGATGTTTTGAAGAAACAAATGGCAGGAATTTACAGGGTTAGGAGAGGAGATTAGTAAACTAGAGAGACTGCTAAACAGGAGAGTGTAGTAAACAAAAGTGCCCAAGGGTACAGGGTTAGGGTCTGTGGATAATGTAAATTTCCTTCCCAGCATGAGCTGTAGCCTCTGAGGGAAAAACAGCATACTTTAAAGAATTTACTTTTAGGCCTGATTTCCCTGGGAACCCCAGACCTAGTTTAGGGCTGTTTTCTGTATTGTTTCGAGCCTGAGCCAGGCAGGGGGAGGGAGCAACCAAGAGACAAGGAGGCCTCTTTCAGATAGAATGAGGATTCTGGCCATGGCCATGGCCAAGCCAAACCGAGGGGGTGCGGGACTTTTTGCCCTTTTTCAGTGTCCCCCTTTCCCATTCCCATATCTGCTGCCCATACCAGCAATGTGTGTCTTAGGTTGTTTTTTCTCATGAGAAAAACTTACCCATCATGGATCATCAGCCATCACAGGGTCAAGCAGGAGGATGCGAGGAGGGGGCAGGGGCTGTGCCCCTGCCAAGGGGACAGGTTTTGTCTCTTCAGGGGCCTAGTTTCTCCAAAGCCTCCCTGGTTATTTCCAGCCTTGGGGCCCTCCCACCTGTTGGCGGGGTTACAGTTCCTGAAACCAGACAGGGTGTTGCCCAACAAGAGAGGGGTCGGGAGGGAGAAAGGGAGGGAGAGAAACATCAATGTGTGGTTGCATCTTGTGCACCCCCAGTTGGGGGCCTGGCTGGCAACCCATACATGTGCCCTACACTGGGAATCGAAACGGCAATCCTTTGGTTTACAGGCCGGCGCTTAGTCCACTGAACCACACCAGCTAGGGCTCTAAGGAGTGTACCTTGACACCCACTTCTCAAATTCGAAAAGGTTACTGAGTTTGGAGACAGCTCTTTTCCAAAGAGCATGAGCTAACATCTGCTACCCAAAATTCCTCACTTCATTGTAAAGCTTCCACCACTAAAGGGATGTGCTTTTATAAATGTTAACTAGGTTGAGGAAATTTTGTAATACAGTAACATCACCTCAGCACACTGAAAACAGTGAGTGAGGTCATCTGCCTACCCTCCACCCCATGTGGTGGTGTTCTTGTGTATCATATGGGACTGATTGACTAAGGACCCTACCAAGAGCATCACGTTAGCCTGTTGGTAGAGTTTAATTCTTTATCAGATAAAAATAAAAACACAACTTTAACATCTTTATCCTGCACCCCAGGGGAATTGTCTTGTGCTTCCCCTGTTGGAACCATTGCCCTGGTCAGCCTTGGAAGCCGTGCTGCATAATTCGGGCAGAGTGACTTCAGGAGTTTTTTGAGCAAAGAAATGATTAAAACTTTAAATTTTATGAAGGATGGTTTGGAAGTGGTGCTGATGAACTGTTAGATAATGGGAAGTATGTTTGAGATGCCGAGTCCTTCATGTCCTAACTGGGTGTCTCTAATAAGGGAAGAGGCAAAAGCTGGTTCCAAAGTTTGGAATTTGGGAGAATGCAGGTGCCGTTGGGGATGGGGTTGGGGGGTAGAGAGGATAAATTTCTTTAGACAGTTGGGTTTGTTGGACCAATGGAATACCTAACACAACTGGGAAGGTGGAATTGGAATTTGGGAGTCCCTGGGATTAGAGAAAAGATTATGGGAGTGTAATTGATGATCTAGAAGTGGATGTGATTACCAGACCAGGTTCTGAATTGATCTGGCTAGTTTTCTGTGAAGTCAATGGTTCACATTTAAAGCATCACCTTAAAAAATTTTTCAAATCTTACTTGTAGTATATGCGTTTAGAATGTTCACTTCTTAAACAGATTGCATTGTGAGGGGTTGTTTTTGGGATTTGTTTGGTTTGATTTTTGTTTTTGGTTATGAAGGCACATTTTTACCAACACCAGTTGCTATAGAATACAATGTGCAGCAATAGTGTAAGGATCCAGAGTAGACAGCTGCCCTAGATGACCACACACAGTTCTTTGCATTCTTGCCCCTGCTGTCTTTTCTCAGTTTGTCTCCTAACTTCCTGACAGCTGCCTCTCTGCCTGCCAGGAATAGGCTCCCTTCTTATTTGTGAGTTAGGTTAGAAACAGCATCATTGAGATTGGCTGGAATTTTGGTGAGGCCTTGAGTGAGGCCTAGAGAGGAAGAATGTCTTTTGTATAATGGGAGTGAGCTCTAGGGCAGGACTTAGATATATTTTCTTTAAGACTGTCTTTAAGAGACCAAATTCAAGATTCAAATTTTTTATGTTTGGCTTGTGTCCTAGCTTCATCACTTGCTGTCTCTGTGAGTCTGGTGCTATCTTTGTGTTTTACAACCTCTGTGCATGCTTCAGTTCCTCATGTATAAAATGAGTCTGTTAATGTTATTTAATAGAGTTGTAAGAGTTATATGAGGGAAGACTAAGTTAAGTGCCTGCCACAGGGCAGACCCTGATAAATGGCCAGCTGTTACCGTTTTGCTTCCAGTGTTCCCAGTAAATGAGGTAGCTGGATGGCTTGAGTTTTGGGCAGGGTGTTTCTATATAATAAAATTCTGCCCTTCATAGGAAAGATAACCAAGAAGCAGTCATTGAATTGGTTGTTAAAAATGTCTACGGTGGTAGCATTAAGTATCAGTTTCTCATCCTTGACAGACTCTTCCTCCCACCCCTTAGGCACTGGTGTTCTGTCCTTACTGCATTTCTCACTGTTCCCTTTTGTGCCTTGTCCATTCCATGACTTCCCTTAATCCCAGACACTGTGTGTGACCGAGCCCATTGTTCAGGGACCTCCCAGGCACATGTATGTGTCTGGATGTCTCAAGTGGCCCAAATTCAACATGCAAGCAATACGTTTTCCTTTCTACCAAACCCCTTACCCCTCCTCAGTTCCGTCTGTTGTGTAAAGGCAATGCTGCCTGCTCAAGCCAGAAAGTTGTCACCGTAGATTCCTCTCTCTCCTCACCATTTGGATGAATGAAGAAAGGGAGGGGGTAACTTAAATTTAATGCTACTGTTCCTCAGATCACTCATAATCCACCCACCCTTGCTGCTGCATTTATTCCATCCTTCAAGCATACTTGCACTATTGTAGTAGTTTCCTTGCTTTCATTCTTGTATATTTCCACTCCACCTTCTACTCTGCCTCATATTCTAATACAGATCTGGTCATGTTCTTCCCAGCTTTTGAGGCCCTTCAGTGCTTCCCCATTGCCTATAAAGACCAGGTATTCTATGTTTGTTCCTACCTCTTCCTTTCTCCATATGTATCCAACAGTGCTCAAGTCATAAAGAACTGCTGGGACTGCTCCCCCTGAGTGGGCCATACTCTGTCTCCTCCCCCCAGTATCCACCTGGTAAACTACCCATTCTTCGAAACCCCCTCCAACAGTTTATTCTTCCCTGTTTGTGCTGGTATCAGCCTCTGCGACACTTGTCATACAAGGTGCTATTTAAGTTTCCGTGCTTTCAATTTGCATGTCTTTTTGATGCTAGCAAGGCAGTCTGGCATGTGGCGCATCATAGAAATTTGGTGCCTGTTGAATTGTAGTAAGCTTTAACGGATGAATGTCAGCCACTTTGGAAAACAGTCTAGCAGTTTCTCAAAAGATTAAACATGGAGTTGCCCCATGACTCATCAACTCTACTCCTTGGTTTATATACCCAAGAGAATTAAAAGCATCTACACAAAAACTTATACATGCATATTCAAAGCAGTGGTATTGATTATAGCCAAAAGGTGGAAACAATCCAACTGTCCAGCTGATGAATGGCTGAACAAAATATACAACCATACGATGAATATTATTTAGCCATAAAAAGAAAAGGGGTACCAATTCATGCTACAACATGGATGAACCTTGGAAACATTATGACCAGTAAAAGAAGCCAACACAAAAGGCCACAATGTTATAAGATGCCTTTAATACCCAGCATAGGCAAAAGCAAATCCATAAGGGTGAAAGTAGATTAATGGTTGCCAGGGGTTGTAGGGAAATCGGAAGTAAGCTAATGGGTATTGCATTTCTTTATAAAGGGTAATATTTGTACAACTCTGACTGAGCTAAAAACCATTGGATAGTACATTTTAAATGTGTGAACTATATAGGGAAAAAACATCTCAATGAAGCTGTTTTCCTTTTTATTTTTAATGAATGTAATTAGATGATGCCCAGTTATTAGATCTATTTAGCTCTGAAGTAATTGTTGAAAGTCAGGTATTATGACTTCAGTTCCAGTAAGCTGATCAATAAAGTGATACAAATGGCCTCTAGTCTGGCCTTTCAGATGTTAATGAGGCAGTCTAGTTTCTTTGGGAACCCTCCCCCCCACTAAACTACCATTTTTTAAACTGTTCCCAGTTGATACACCCAGGCCACCTGAAGCTTGTTTTCCTCAGCTTGGTGGGGAACAGTGGTAATTCTCAAACTTTGGCTGGTGTCAGAATCGCTTGGGGAACCTGTTAGCAATATAAAGTCTCCTAAACAAGATCCTGTTTGAAGAAGCCTGGCCCTCTGTTGTTTTTGTTTTGGCTTTTTTTTTTTTTTTTTTTTTTTTTTCCAGTTTAGCAGGGAATTCTCACACACACCAAAGTTTGGGAGCTGTTTTTGGGGTAAGGAGTCTGAGACTGCAGATCTGACTTACCTGGTAGAGAAGGAGTTTTTTTGTTTGTTTAATTTAGACGGGGGAAGGGAGGGGAAAAAACATCAATGTGTGGTTGCCTCTCACACACCCCCTACTTAACCATTTCTGTGAGCATCCTGTGTTTTGAACTGCTTATCTGATAGGTTGGATATCTGTTCACCTCTTAGTTCCATTTTTGGAGCTTTGATCTGTTCTTTCATTTGGACGATATTTGCCTCAGCTCACCTGTTGCATTGGAAGGGGCAGAGTCTTAGGTGTTCACCAGGGAAGGGCAACCCAGGTCATGGTGATGTGATGCTGTATGTAGGGGAGAGGTCCAGAAGGATACAGTGCCGCTTGTTTGGGGTTTCAGTCCTTTCCCCTGCTACCCACAAGCAAATTGGACCCTTCTAGTGCTGATTCCCAGGTGGGTAGGCTTATGTATGTTCTAGGACCCCATGGGTCTCTCCATTGGACTCTCCTGTGAGGCTGGGAGTTTCTCCTGCTGCTGCACCCCCCACAGGTTATTACAGCCAGAGATTTTGAGGCTTTCTTTTCCCCACTGGAACCCTGGGTTGCACAGCCTGTCTCGCTTCCCAGTTGTTTCTCATGGTTTATCCCCACACAAATGTGGGACTGCCCGGTCCACCAGCTGCATCCTTGGCACACATCCTCTCTGCCCCGGCTGCCCTTCTCTGCCCCTCCTAGCAGTCTGGATGAATGTTTCTTTTTTAACTCCTTGGTTGTCGGACTTCCATACAGTTCGATTTTCGGGTAGTTCTGGTTATTTTTTTGTTTTTAAATTTGTTGTTGTCCTTATTTTGGTTGTACAAGAGGGCAAAGTGTATCTATCTACACCTCCATCTTTGCCAGAAGTCTAAATAATTTTTTTTTTTAAATAAGCCAATGCAGTACTTTACAGAAGGTATCCTTTTAATGTGAATCCATTTAATGCTGGTTCCTTCTTAAGAGTTCTTTCTCTGCCTCTTTTTAGAACAATGCTAAAGTAGCTGTGCTCGGGGCTTCTGGAGGAATTGGACAGCCCCTTTCACTTCTCCTGAAGAACAGCCCTTTGGTGAGCCGCCTGACCCTCTACGATATTGCTCACACACCAGGAGTGGCTGCAGATCTGAGCCACATTGAGACAAGAGCGAATGTGAAAGGTAATGGGCACACTGGCCCTGGAGAATTTACTTCATTTCTCCCCAGTAAACCAAGACCCAAGTTTAGAGTAAGATTCTTAGATAAAACTAGATGTTCAGAGACTTGGGATTTCCATGTTCAGTTTAGAGTTAACTTTTACAAATGATCGCACCTTTTTGGACTTTTCTATAAAAATTTAAATAACAGTGTCTTTAAGAATAATGAAGGTGGTCTGATCTTCCTATTTGAAATTTTTCCTAATTTGAAAAGTAATATGAGGATGGGGAGGGAAGGGAAGCTCCTGCGGGTAATTGGGACAGTAAGAAATGCTGTTCCTAAAATAAGACCAGCAACACTGAAAGGAAAAGAAATCAACAGAGACAAGAGGGAAGGGGGGGGGGCGGGGACAAGGAAAGGAAGGGGAAAGTCAAGGAACATACAGCAAGGACTCATGGACAAAACCAAAGGGGAAGAGCTGAGGGAGGGAAGGAGGGAGGGGGCAAGGGAAAGTGGTGAGGGGTTGGCAGAGACAAATGTATTTGAAAAAATAAATTAAAATAAAATTAAAGAAAAAATATCAGGCAAAAGAAAAGAAAAGAAAAAAAAGAAATGCTGTTCCTAGTCATTGCAGGTCGCCTTTCCATGCCAAGGGCCAACTCTCTATCCAGGGTTACCTTTGCCAGCTTTTCTAAAGCATGTCCACCTTAGGGAAATCTTCCTTCCTATTTGGGAGATAATAGGTATGTTATCCAAAAAGTAATTCATAATTGCATATAATTATATGTCCTGCTTATTTTATCTTCACACCTTGGCAACATTTCTCCTGTCACCAACTCTTGGTAAAATCTTTTTTAAAGCTATACTAAAATTTATCACTTATTTAGTATTATCCCCATACTATTGACCATTGGGGGTTCTTCCCTGTTTTTCTCTGCTATAAATATAAATATATAAGCTATGGTAAACATCCTCATCTTCCCCCCTCCCCCGACCCCGATTTTACTTACTTTTCAAGCTTTCTTTTATTTATTCATTCATTCATTCATTCATTCATTTATAGATGGGGGAAAGGGGAAAAGAAAGGGAGAGAAACATCAATGTGTGAGAGATGCATCAGTTGGTTGCCTCTTGCATGCTCCCAACCTGGGACCTGGTCACAACCCAGGCGTGTGCCCTGACCGGGAAGGAACTGGTGACCTTTTGGTTTGCAGGACAACACCCAATCCACTGGGCCATACCAGTGAGGGCTTTATTTATTTTTAGAGAGAGGGGGAGGGGGAAGAAAGAGAGGAAGAGAAACATGGATCTGGGAATCGAACAGCAACTTTTCGCTTTGCAGGACAATGTCCAACCAACTAAGCACACTGGTCAGGGCAAACATCCTCATCTTTATTATATCTTGTTTCTTGGAGGCTTAAAAGTAGAATTAGTAAGTATGACTACTTTAAAGCTTTTACTGTAAAGCACCTAATTACTGTCCAGAAAGGTATAAACAACATGGGAGGCTGACTGTCAAGGCATATGTTTATGAGCCTTTCATAGTCACTCTGAATTTGTTTGCTCATTTGCTTTTGTGTTGTAGATTTGATTCTCTTCAAGCTCCTGCAGATAAGGAAAGTTAATCAAAATCAAAGCATATTTTGGTCATTGGAGCAAATTCCTCTGAAATCCTTAAAAATAGACCTTATTTCCCTCAGATGCTAGGAATAAACAAAATGGGTAGTAATACTTAGAGTTCTTGTTTGTCAGCACAGGGACCTTTTTTCATGGCCTGCAGTGTGCCTCCTGGCTTGATCCTGAGATGGAGCTCTTCTTAGGGTGATCATGACATAGAATAAGCAGCTCTTCTAACTGGGAGCCAAGAAGGTGCTACTGAGTAAAAATAAGCAGCTGACTTGGTTTGGTTTTCTGCCAACCTGGAGGGTTAATCCATTCTGAAACTGGGGCCTGGGCAGATGGAGACTGGAGGAAAGTAGAGTGAAGGGGGCATTCCTGCCAACCACATGTGTCAGAGTCACAGGGTGGTAGTCCTCAAGGAAAAGGATCATGTCACAGGTGGGCCCGCCAGCCTTTCCTGTGGCTGGTGGTCAGCACTGGACGCAAGTGGGGCCTTCCTTCTGGGTTCTGTCCCCACCGATGTGCTAGTCCCTCTAGGTCACAAATGATAAGATTGCTATCATTATGGGTGTGTTTTCTAGGCTACCTCGGACCTGAGCAGCTGCCAGACTGCCTGAAAGGTTGTGATTTGGTCGTTATTCCAGCCGGAGTCCCGAGAAAACCAGGTGTGTGTTTGAAAGCCTTTTTTAGCATCTCCCTTCAAGTCAGATGAGGAAGTGGTTTTCCATGAAAAATGGAGCCAGTAAGATCTCTGTGCTGCAGGAAAATTTCCAAAAGTTCCCCATTGCCTGTGAGATAAAGATCAAAGCCTCCAGGTCCCCCCCTGCCTGGAATGCTCTTTCTCCCATCTGTCTCCCCAACCCTAACCCCAAATATAACCATAACCCTTGGGAATTTCTCCTGATTCTGGATGATTCTCCTTAAATATTATCCTTCCTGATTCCCCTCTTCACGTCCCACCCCTACAGATCCCTGCTTTGGCACTTGTCACACTGGGTTATTTTTCCTACAGGATAGAGTAACAGAAACCCTCTGTCATGTTTGAATTACCTGTAACAGCTAACAAACAGCACTTGGCACATGTGAAATTTCTCCCTTTGCTTTGTGAACATCTTGAATTGGGTTATTCTCAGGTATGACACGGGATGACCTGTTCAACACCAATGCCACAATTGTGGCCACCCTGGCTGCTGCCTGTGCCCAGCATTGCCCTGAGGCCATGATCTGCATCATTTCAAATCCGGTGGGTGCTGCTGTCAGACACTGTATGAAAGCTCACAGTTAGCAAAAGTGTGCTGATGTGATAGGGAGACCAATGAGACTAACATACTGAAATGGTAAATAGGGTGAACTATGTTTATTTCCTAAGATTTCCTTCTGGCATGGACTAAGTGAGTTTTAACCTGGTTTTTCAATCAACTAACTGTGTGCCTTTGAGCAAATCACTTCCCTTATCTGAATCTTAGTTTCTTCACCTGGAAAATAAGTCCATTCTTAAGGATTCTTCCAGCCATGATTGTAGTAACTTATGAACTCCTTTTACTGTGTTCTACCCAGGGTTTGCAGTTCCTGGTCCCTCAGCATTTCCTCATTTATGGATAAAAAACCCAAGTCCGAGGGAGTCGAAGTAGTTTGCCCAGGGTTACCATGTGGAGTGACACAGCTGGGACTTGACCCTAAACCATCTGAGCTTCTAACCCTGTGCTGTGTTGTTTTGTTAGGAGTGGCCATTCAAGTGTAAGTGCCAGCTGGAGCCAAAGATGCCCGGTGGAGCCATCCTCACATTTTTAAGTTAATAGTAAAAGGGTCTTGTGCATGTTTGAACTGTGGGCTCAGAGGCCATCCAGGGAAGAGCACCTGCTGCAGTGCCAGATTTCTTTGTTTATGTGGAGGGGAAAGAAGCACTCTGGTTGAATAGGAAGTCTACCTGCTGTGACTTGCTCCTGTTGCTTCATGGCTATGTTCTCAGAATGCATCGCAAATTACGCTTGTCTCTTGGGTTTATTAGGTTAACTCCACCATCCCAATCACATCAGAAGTTTTCAAGAAACATGGAGTGTACAACCCCAATAAGATCTTTGGGGTGACAACCCTGGATGTTGTCAGAGCCAACACTTTTGTTGCAGAACTCAAGGTAAGAGCTCCATCAGGTAATCTTTCATGCTTCCTTTTCTGAACTTCTCTGGGCTATCCTTGGCTCACATATGGCAGGGCAGTTTTTAATTACTTGTCCCCTTGGTGGGAAGTAGCTCTCACTTTATTGAGAGTGGGGGGAACATCTGGACAGCAGGCCCCTACAGGCTTAAACCAGCCAGCTTCAGTCTTGACTCAGCCCTACTCTTCTCTTTCTTCTCCCTGATACATCAAAGATTCGGTCTTTCTCTGGGTTTCTCGTTGGCTGGACTGAGCTGTGCTCTCCAGGTTTATTGCTTCTGAAAACTAGTATTAAGAGGAATTACCTGCTAATCATTAGATAAATTACTAGACAAATCCTAAGATTTCAGAATTGTCGGCCCTAGGCTGTAGTTCTGACTCCCCTTCTTGGGTTACCTGCGGTAGCTTTCCTCAGAGAGGTTGGATCTTGCCAGTTGTCCGCTTCTTCCTGGGCTGTGGGACTGAGCTGTGGGGCTCAGGGGGCCCTGAGGTGGGTTTGGCACCAGTACTAGGTTTGGAGTCCTTGGTGCCTTTCAGAACTCACTGTAGAATCTTTCTGATTGCGAATCCAGCGGAACCACTTACTCTGGCCCCACAGAGTTTCCTTGTTGAACTTCAGGCTCTCTTTTTTTTTTTTCTGACTTTGCAAATGAGGGGTGCCTCTTTAAAGTAGGGAACACTGCCGTGCACACCAATTAGTGAGAAGTGCACACAAAGGACCATTGGACTTTTACTCCCCTGTGCACCAGGTATGTCTGCCTCTGAAGTGTTGATGACGCCCCACTTCAATTCACACTGCGACATACACCTCAGGCACGGTTCTGGGTTGGCGGGTGGGGGCGGGGGGCGGTGTCAGCAAGATCCATAAGACAGGGCCCCAGGCCTTGAGAGCTCTGTGAAGTGGAGAGACACTTTAATTCAAGACATAATTAAATTGAATAACCAGTTCAATTCGGTGTATATGAGTGTGATGACGTTTGAGTCAGGGAAGGGTTTGTGGAAGAGATCACATTGAAGCTGAGTGCATGCAGGTGGGAGGGCTAGGATTCCAGCTTCCTGAAGCTCACACCCCAGCTTCCTGGAAGCAGTATTGCCATTCTCTTAGGGCTCCCATGTTGCTCCCAGCTTTCAGAGCACACTGTTTCCCCCGGGCTCCTTGTGTGCACAATACAGTAGCTAACTACATGTGGCTGTTAAATTAGATAAATAAAATTAGAAATCCATGTCCTCCATCACACACTGGCCAAATTTCAGATAGCCACATACGGCTTCTGCATTCTTGCACAAAGTCCTATTAGATAGTGCTGGCTTAGCCTAGAAGCTTTACTGTTGGAGGTGGAGAAAGGGGGATCTTGGCCCCTCTGGAGAATCTAGTGCTTGACAAGCTGCTCTTACCTCAGGCTGTCTGACATTCTGAAAAATTCCTGAAGAGTCAAAATTGACCCTTAAGCTCCCAGTGCCTGGTTCCTCCCTCATCCCTCTCAGCCATCGGGACCCCTTTTACTGTCACCTTCCCTTTCTGCTCAGCTTGCATAAATTTACTAGTTTACGTTTCGTGCATTGCCGATGTTACACACATTCTTTTTAACCCCTGGCCTTTGCTCCTTTGTTCCCCAAGGGACCCAGAATGTGCTTCCCTTGGGGAAGTCCTCCTGTTCCTTCCCACATGAAGTTAGGTCTGGCCCAGGAAGCCTTCCCCCACCCAGGCTGATGAAGTGTTACCCTGGCTTCCATAGCGACCTTTTGTGGCCATTTCTTTGTATCTGTCTCATTAGACAGTAAGTTTCTCAAAAACAGGGGCTTTGTTTGTTCATGCCTGTGTTCCTGGTGACGTGCACAGTGCCTTGGCTTCTGAGCTCCCTGCTCCATTCCATTGGTCGGGTTGCGCCTGCCCCACCCCCACCCCCCCACACCCGGAGGCTTGGCCTCTCTTCCTGGGTGAGGCTGGTTCCAAACTTGGAGCTGCCCTCTTCCGCAGGTGCAGCATTTGGAGAAGGTGGTGGCATTTTGGGACTACTCACCTCTGTCCACTAACTTCCACCAGATTTTTATTATTTTATTCTATTTATTACTGTCATAAGAAATACCCAGTTCACAGATTCTTGGGAGCATTGTAACTCAGTTTAACAAATGAACCAGCCTCTTTCAGTAGGCCCACTAATGAGCCAGGATAATCTGATCCTTCCCAGTTTTGTTCTTTGTGTTCCGATCGCTGTTTCAGACTTCTCACCTCTCAGTTTTCTGGAATTGTTTTTTAATTTTACTCTGAAATGTGAGAAAGGGAATTTGACTTGTTCTCTGTGACAGGGTGTGAGCACAGGAGTATAGGCTTGTGCATGGGAATAACATCTGTGGGAAAGAGACTGCCATTCTTTGATTCTGAGAAGATATCAGACTGATAGGTACCACTTGGGGAGGTGGCTATGAGGAGGCAGTTTTCAACTCATTATAAAGGGAAAATCTCAGCGAACTCACAAGATGACAAGTTACTCCTCACTGCATGTGTTCAAACTGATGTTAGACCATGGGGTAGGGCCATGGTAGAGCTAAGCAAGGATGGCATCAGTCTCTTCTGATTTCTTTGTTTTGTTCTAAGTTCTGTGGGTGTTTCCAATATCGGTGCTTTGGGGTGGGTATGACATGTTTTATGCTCAAAAGGGTTTGTTAAAAATTAACCAAGCTTCACACTTTGTTGACCAGAGTTTGGATCCAGCTCGAGTCAATGTTCCTGTCATTGGAGGCCACGCTGGGAAGACCATCATCCCTCTGATCTCTCAGGTGCGTGTGTGACCTTGCCAGGCAGCCCTAACACCATGACCATCTCTAAGAGGTTCCACTTGGAGGCACTCTGGACAGGCTGACAAAGATCTACCTATCCCTTGTATTTTGAAAGAATTCCTGCTATGAATGCAGTCCCACCCTAGTTGTCTGCAGGTTTCTTGACTGGCGTGGGGCTTGGTCAGGTTCCAGTGTTTCAGGAGTCCACAGCTGTGTGGAGTGAGTGTAGTCAGAAGGGGCTCAAGACGAGGTAAGCACTGCTAAGAATAAGATATATCCAGTCAGCCTCGTAACCCCTGAGTGTGATGCTCTGAGAAGGACACAAAATATTTGTGGTATTCATGTCAAAAATGCATAGCCTTACAAGAAGATTCTGAGGAAACGCCTTGCAGATAAAAACTGATGAACTTTTTGCAAAATGAATGAGTACTCTTACTCTTGACAAGTGTCGCGAAAGACAAGGGATGACTTAGGAACATTAGGGAATAGACAGAATAGGCTAGGGTGAAATGACTTTGTCTATTGCCAGTGAAGTCCTGAATAGGAACCTGGAACAGAAAAGGGACAGTTGTGGGAAAACTGGTGAAATTTAAATAAGGTCTGTAGTTTAGTTAACAATGTGATGCTCGTCTCCTGTTCGTGTAAAATGTTAACATAAGGGTAAGCCAGGAGAGGGAAATCTTTGTACTGTTTTTATAACTTTTCTCTAAGTCTGAAATTAGTCCAAAATACAAAAAGTTCTTAAAAAGTGAGTAGGGACCTCCTAACAAAGTTGACTTTTGCTTTAAAGAAAGGCTCTTTGTTTCTCATGTAGTGGTGACATGAGAGACCCTCTGTGAGTCGAGTGAGGACAGTGCATGTGGGAGCTGGGAATGGGGACTGGAGCCAGAACCTGCTCATGGGATCCCTGCATCTTTGGCTTGCAGTGCACTCCCAAGGTGGACTTTCCCCAGGACCAGCTGACAGCCCTCACCGGGCGGATCCAGGAGGCCGGCACTGAGGTGGTGAAGGCTAAAGCTGGAGCAGGTAAGATTTCTCAGAGGCAGGTCGTGGGTGGGGTGCTGATGCCAGGGGCACTGTTAGAGTTCAGAGTTGAAGTCTACAAGGGCCTGGGCAAGGAGCAAGTGCTTTCTAAGTTTCCTGTTTGTTTACTTGATAGAAAACCCTGCATCAGAGGGGAGCTCAGCTTGCTCAGCAGAGTAGTGCTTGAGGTCGGCAAAGCCGCTCCTTGCCATTCATGAGTTTGTGAATTGAGTGGTGCCGGCCTAAATTCTCGACAACTAAAGCTAGAGATTTTAATAGATGCTTTATTTAGCTGGCAGGGCAGGCTCACCTGGATTTTACGGTCTCTGTGCTGGCTTGGCTAATCTTTCTATGTCCTCCTAGGCTCTGCCACCCTGTCCATGGCATATGCTGGAGCTCGGTTTGTCTTTTCCCTTGTGGATGCAATCAATGGAAAGGAAGGAGTTGTCGAATGTTCCTTTGTTAAATCCCAAGAAACGGACTGTCCCTATTTCTCCACACCGTTGGTGCTGGGGGTATGTATCCTAGAGGCTGGGTCTCTTGACTGTAGAGAGTTCTCTCAAGAACTCAGGAGCTCTGCCCTGTGTGGTTGCTTCATAATTCAGAGTTCCTTTGGGCAGTCATTACATCTCACTGCCTGGTGTGTGTTTGGGTTTTTGAGGATGGAAGCACATCACAGAATTAAAAGGGAGAAACTGTGAGATTGGCACCTCCTGGCACAGGACTTTCATTGCCCATGGGTCTGGCGGCTGGTCATCAGCAGCTTCCTGGGTATGTTTCCTAATGAGGCCCTCATTCCATCTCAGAGCAGCCCATGGGCAGCTCTGAAAGAAAAGACCTCTGCACACCAGTCTCCCTGCAGCTTATTATACTTACTAGTTCCTGTTCTGATCTCAGGGCCTGACAGGCCTAATTCTCTCTCCAAGGAGGTCTGGAGATGGTGCACAGCTGTTATTTCCCAGTTCAAGCATCCTGGTTTCTTGCTCCTTACCCCACTGGTTTTCTTTTTGGGGATGTGCTACTGATTGTCCCCTTGAAACTTGTGATGTCTGAACAGAGCCCATCTGGTTGTATTGCTGGCTCCAGCTAGACTCTTGGTCTGGTTGACTCTTGAGGTTTTTGTTGTTTTGTGTGTATTTTTTTTTTTTAAGATTTTATTTATTCATTTTTAGAGAGAGGGGAAGGGAGGAAGAAAGGGCGAGAAACATCACTATGTGGTTGCCTCTCCTGTGCCCCCCACTGGGGACCTGGCCCACAACCCAGGCATGTGCTATGACTAGGGATCGAACCGGTGACACTTTGGTTCTCAGGCTGGCACTCAGTTCGTTGAGCCACACCAGCCAGGGCTGACTCTTGAGTCTTCAGCAAACCAAAACCCTTAGGTCTCATTCATACAAACCATCAAGCCAGGTTTCCATTTCTTAGTTGTGGGCAACTGCTGAGATCAGGCACGTGTGGTGGCCTTAGTCTCATTCCCAGAAACAGTTTAGTGACTTGCTGGGCCACCCAGAGGCCCTTCCCACAGACACCCAGATGTAAGATCAGTAAGACGTGGCCCCAGGCCTCAGGGGCTCCATGCAGTACAGAGACTGAAAATAAACATGTTAATTCAGTGACCAGCTCAGAATAGGTATGTGCAGAATGTGGTGAGACCTGAAGGAAAGAAGCACACGGGGCTGATTGTCCAAGTCGGGAAGGGTCTTTAAAGGAGGGGACAGAGACACTCTTGTTTCCCTAATGTCAGACATTTTCCTATTTAAATTCATTGGATTCAAGTGGATATTAAAATGTTTCTTTAGTGCTTTACCAATTTTGGAAACAGACTAGAACCCAAAAGTATGCTCCATGTGAGGGAGAATAACATTAAGTGCTACTGATTATTGAGTACTTGATGTGCCAAATCACCCATGTGTATTCACGGCCTCCCTTGAGGTAGATAATACCCTTATTTTATAGATAAGGAAGCTAACTTGGTGTAGAAACCATTGTCCTGGATACATGCATAGTGACAGCCCAGATCCCTAGGGTTGACTGAGCCCCGAGTTCTGGGTGTTTGCAGCCCCTCAGCAGCTGCCCAGAGCCACAGTGTAGGTAGTCTAGGCAGAGCTGATGAAATTTCAAGTTGAGTTTTCTATAACAAACTCATGCATGGAAACTAACTTTGTTGTAAAACTTTTCTGCTTCCCCTCTTCCAGAAAAAAGGCATCGAGAAGAATCTAGGCATTGGCAAAGTCTCCCCTTTCGAAGAGAAGATGATCGCTGAGGCCATTCCTGAGCTGAAAGCCTCAATCAAGAAAGGAGAAGAGTTTGTAAAGAACATGAAATAAGAAAGCAGTTAGTGAGCAGTCCATTTCCTTAACTTATTAAGGCATCGTGTCACTGTAAAGAAATTTCAGATATCTTTGTATTTCAATTTGATGAGGAGCATTGTATTAACCTTACCATCCCTTTCAAATCATGGGTCTACTGGTGGATCAATAAAAGCAGGTTTTGATTTTCTTTTTCAAGGTATCTTTCATAAATATTGTGCTTTCTTCCCCATTAGAGCTGACCTCGGAGTCGCTGGCATCTCTTTCATCACAAATCAGAATTAGATGTTATTTAAATATTAGGCTGAAGCAAGATGGTTTCATCACTGGCTTTAAAAAGTCTAAAATATCAGTAACTGTTCCTGCCAGCCCTTCCCTCTGCACCATTGCATCCCTCAGTGTGTAAACGAAAGGGCAGCTTAGGCCTGATTCCTCATAGTGTCCTTTCACCCGCACAGAGTAACGGCTCATTGGCTGGTGCCTGGCCATTGTTTTCTGTCCTGGTTTTTTCTGTGGTATTTTCTGGCTAAGCAAACAGTACCGTCTTCTACATTGGACTTGTGTTGGCTGACCTCTCTCCCACTCTAAATTTGGTCATCTTTTGATGGAGCCTTAATAATCAAGGGACTCTGACATCCTGGTGTCAGTATTGTGAGGAAAGTTGGGATGGAGACAATGAAAATACCAGCTACCATGGCAGGACTGATACTCAGGGAAAGGTGAGTTAATGTCTGTCTTCAGTGACCTGAAAGACTTTGTTGTACTAGCTGGGCTCAGGACAAATGGACATTAAAAGGAGACCTGACTCCCTTTAGTGTTGGGTGCCATCAGCTCCCCAGAGCTGTGGCTTCTGAAGTGAAAACAGCTCCACACCGGAGAGGACTTTGGCAATAGGTGAAGTCCTTCCATTGAAAGGTAAAAGGGTAGATGGGGGTGGAGCTATGTCCAGTGGAACTAAAACACATGGATTTTACAGTCAAGCATGACATTGTTTTGTTTAAAAGTAATACATGTTCACTGTTTGAAACGTAAAACAGCCAAAAAATAAAGCAGGAAATAATCACTGGTAATAGTATTTATTCTCTTCATTTTGCATGTTTCTTGAGGTAATGCTTCATGTGCCATTTTGCAGCTTGTTCTGGTTATCTTGATGTGTAACACACACCTAATCTAGTTGCTTTTAAGCCATTTTATTATTATGTCTCATGATTGTGCAGGTTGACAGGGCTGGCTGGTTCTGCTCCAGTTTTGAGGGCCTGGCTGGCCGGACACATTATCAAGATGATGGTTCAGACACATAGCTGGTGTTTGGGGAGGGTGCTGGGAAGCTGTGCTTCCTGAGGTGTCAGGCCTCATTCTTCATAGGGCCTCTACTGCAGGGTGGGCGAAGTCCTTAATGTCTGGGGGTTCCCCAAAATGCAAGGGCAGTAGCTACCTGGCAGTAAGGCTTAAGTTCAGAACTGGCACAGCATTGGTTCTGCCACATTGTGGTGGGAGCGAGGCACAAGGCAAGCCCAGGTGCCTGATGGGAGATGCTGACCACACCAGGTGTGAGCACCAAGAGGCCTGGATCTGTGAGAGCCAGCTTAGGAGATTGGCTACCTCACGTGATTCATGCTGTAAATGTGGAGGTAGTTTCCTGTGTTGCTTTTTTCCCCACATTTCAAAAGTTTATTTCAAACTGTGCATAATGGAGTAAAAAATTAAGTTGAAAGTGTACCTGTTGTGAGGATGGTATTAGTTCAAATACAGGGTCCAGTACAAATAATTCCCCTTTTTTTATTACAAAATCTTTTTTTTTCCTTTAAGATTTTATCTATTTACTTTTAGAGAAGGGAGGGAGAGAAACACCAATGTGCAATAGGTAATCAAGGGGTTGCCTCTTGAATGACTCCAACTGGGATCTGGACCGCAACCCAGGCATGTGCTGTGGGTAGGACTCAAACTGGAGACCTTTCAGTTCCCAGGCCACACCAGCCAGGGCTATTACAAAAACTTTTATTACAAAAGCATAAGCATTCTTTACATAATACCACACTCAAGCACACCATATGACATTTTAGGTGAAATGTTCAAATTAAAACTAAATTATCACACCTATATTATTATCCTACCAGCCACACTCAAGCAGGCCTTACTTCTGCTGGACCCTGTATATACATGGATTCTTGGCAGACTGATTCAAATAATACAGAGCCAAATCTTTAAAATACAACTACAGAAAATAAAGGGCAGGGGACCTTAAAATATCACAATAAATTTACAGAAATACTACAAGCCATAAGAAAATACTGTAACATTTTTTTAAATCTGAACAAAATGGAAAGTTGGGAAACAAAAACTATTAAAAATGGCCAATGATGTCAATCTGCATGGCCATTTTTGCTTTTAATGCTAAGTTTTAAAAAATATAATACAATCTAACTTTTGCTCCTTTAAAGACCACAGAGATAGTTTTACTAGTACTTACCCTAGTCATTTCCTTTTGTATAATTTTAAACAAATGTCCCAACCTTAATAAACTTTTTCCCCACGTTTGCAGCTGTCCTAAATTTCAGCTTCAGAATCAAAATTCTACACAAAGCCTTTCCTTGAAAAATACTGGCAAATTTCCAGCTTACAAACATTTTGATTGCCCTGTTTTATCTCAAATACTATAAAAAAAGCTGCTTGCAAATATTAAAACATTTTGTTACTTGGGGACTAGCTCTTTAATATTACTGGTAATATTAAACTTTGAAAACTTTTTGAAAACTTTGCAACATTCCTACCTTATCATTGGAACTTCTAAAAAGTTTTGCATGGTTTTCTTCCAGATCCATAACAAAGTCCATTCCCATGCCCTCCCCACCCCACCACCCCCAGTTTTCTCTGTACAGAAATAGTCCCCCCCCAAAAAAAGAAATCCAGGATCTCTCATGAAAATTTTGTCAGCATTGCGGCTTTTTTGGTGAGTGTAGGTGGGATTGGTATTCTCTTGCAGACAGATGTCACTTGCTGTGATCATGATGACTTGTTTGTTTTGAGCATACCAAGTTTTTCTCTGCTGTTTCTTACTCTCCTCCCATTTCTTTCCTTTTTTCTTTGAAAATCCCCCCCTCCAGTTCACTGTCCAGCCCTCCCCATGTGCTGGGGGTGGGGGGAGCAGTGTGCCTTTAATGGCCGTGCTGGGACGTGGAGTCCATTGGGCGCAGCTGGCTCCGGCACCTTGACACGGGAGAGATACATGCAGATCATGTCCCAGAGGTTGCCAGCCTGACAGAGCCCTCTGGAGTGAGAGGAAGAGAGAACCACAGCAGAGCTGGAGCTGGCCTCAGGACCTGACCACTGAGCCCATGGAGCCAAGTGCCATGCCAGGGGTGCCCTGCTGCGAGTAGGACATGCTGTAGGTTAGAGCCGTTCATGTAGTTCCACAAGCTGGTCATGCAGTTGTACTGCAGGGCGCTCAAGTCATAGCAGTGCATGGGCAGCGCCGTGTGTGTTAACACACAGGTCCTGCGGGCAGCCCAGCTGGTCCTGCGTCATGCTGCAGCTGCCATTGCTCCAGCCATTGATGGTGCATAGCTGTCCATGCTCTGGTTCACAGCTGCACCCACCCTGACCCTGTTTGCTATGCTGTTGCTGCCCGGGGCCCGGGGCCTGCAGCCCGCCTGGCAGCGTGTACTTACCCTTATTCATGAGCGTCTTGGTTTTCAGCCCTGGCCGTTACTTACAATCTGAGGGCTCCTTCGTGTGCAGCCCTCGCAGCCACTTGGCCTCATCAATAAACGGCCACTTCTCTCTCTCCATCTCTGACAGTTTCCACTGGGCACCCAGGCCCTTGCTGATCTCCCAAGTTGAGCATCTTGGGGTTCTCTTGGACCATCTTGCACCGCTGCCCTGCCCGCAGGACCACACCATGAAGGCGTTCATGGGTCGCTTGACACCTACAGGTCCAGGCTGTTCTGGTTGCCCCCCGCCCCACCACCGCTGGCACCTCCCGCCACCAAAGTTTGCTGTAGGCCCAGCAGCTTCAGCTCAGTCTCCATCACTTTGTACCTGTGGGCGCTGTGCATGAGCTGGCCCTCTGCGGCGGCCAACCCTCCTCCCAGCCAGCCAGCCAAGACTTGCCTATGTCACTTTTAATAGCTGCATAAACTTTATGGTGAATATACTGTGAAATTTATTCCACTGTTGGATAATTAGGTTCAGTACTACAAAGAGTGTGGCCCCGAACATCACTGTGCCTTTGGACTAATTCCTCCGGGGAGACCGTTCTGTATGTGAAGCACTGTGCTAGCTCTCTCTTTGATGTGTTTGCTATTTCATGGGATCCTTGAAGCAACCCTGACAGGCAGGACCTAGTACAAGTGACTCAAAGAAAGTTGTCTCGGTTTAGGATTGTCAGTGCCCATCCTATGTACCAGTGATTACCACGTAAGGATCTCCCAGAGTGTGCATAAAATGCAGGTCCTGGCCCCACTCCTCAGAAGTCCCAAAGGAAGGGCCAGAAGCTAAAATGCTCAAGATTCTTCCAGATTATGCTGGGGTGGCGGGGCCATCCACCACACTGGACACTGGCTACCCTAGAACTCTCTCCACTATATAAGCCTCCTGCCTTGCCAGGCTTACAAAGAAATCAGGACGTGAGAATCAGAAAAGTGCAGATAAAGTACTGCAGGACTCAGGACAAGGTTGCTTCTAGACAATTTGGCAGAGGCAAGGATCGAGAAGATTGCTCCATATAGACACCCAGAAAGGAGGAGGAGGGAGAGATGGCATATGAGCCAGCCCTGCAGACTGGGAAGGAGTCCAGCAGGCAGGGAGGGCAGGCTCGGCACACCAGGCAGCAAGTAACAGGAGCAGGTTGGGTTTGGAGTGGCTCAGGATGGTATGAAGAATGGCAAAGTGTTAGACTTGCAGCGTGGGGCACACAATGAGGGCAGCGAGGCCATTCTGGGAGGTCTTGACTGCCAGGCTAAAAAGCTTGGCCCTCACCCCGGGGGTAGTAGGAACAGGGGGGATGTCAAAGGTACTTAGCAGGTGGCATGATTCTAGGATGGGGCTTGTTAACGCATACGCACTATGACTCAGCCTGGGTGGGGCCCAGGTGAGACCCATGCTGCAGGCCACACTTAAGTAGGAAAGATGTCAACTCAGGATGCTCCTCTCCAGAAGGGCCAAGGGCCCAAAATAGGTGGCAGTGAGTGAGAGAGATGACAGGGACATGAGGAAAAACAGCATCTCCCAGCCCCATTTTCACCACCCGGAAGACCATCAGCCAGTTAGCAGCGTGCGTTAAAGTAACTGTGTCCCTGCTTTCAAGCTTCAATTATACACTTCCCATTCCCAGAACTGGCTGCAGTCCCTGCCTTCTGGTCACCTCCTGACACAACACTCCTGTCCCCCTCAGTGAAGAAGAAAAACCCAGGGATTGAGTGTATGGTGTTAATGACTATAATGAGCTGGCTGAGGCCTTTGCCAGGGGAGGGCAAGAACCAGTCTTTAGAGAGCTGAGAGGAGGCTGGTATGGAAGCAGTGGGGCACCCACAACAAGGGTAATGAGATGGTGAGTTAGTCCTGCAAAGAGGGTGCTGTTTAAGTCCAAGGTAGGCACAGCCAGGCTGGGTAATTATGAGGAAAACAGAGTGTCAAGTTCTGGCTAAAGCCAAGGGTTGGTGGAGAGCTTAACAGAATGACCTTGACCTCTCTTAGGACGGATTTATGCTGCAGTTCTCTCAAACAGCCTGGAGGGGGAGACAGAGGCTGGAGCTACAAAACTGCTCCTTGGGACTGTTTAGATCAGGTGGTGGACAAAGGACTAGCATTCCAGAGCCAAATCTGGCTCCCTCACCTGTCTGGTCTCTGATTACCCTCTGATCAGGCTGGAGGGACAGCCAGTCTCAGGGATAATGCAGGCGGGAGTGAGTGCAGGGAGAGGTGTGAAAACTAGCACGCAGTTTTGGAAACAGGGCCTAGAGACACAACATCAATGCAGACTTCTGGGGGAAATGGGGGCGGAGTGGGGGCGGGGAGGCGGGGTGAACGCCTCCCTCCCCATCAGCCCTGCCCAATAGACTCAA